TTATGAGGTTTTTGTCAAGCTTTAGTGTTGACAGGAATTGGAAATAAATGAAGACTCAAGGCCCAACCATTTATCTTCCCAGCCCACCCATAATTTATTTTTTCAGCCCCACTTTGCAAAAGCTGACAAAGTATGTTTAATAAGGAGGGGGTGGGACCTTTAGGCAATGCTCCTCAATCAAACTGTGCCAAGGAACTAATCAGGAAAATGCAAAATACAAAAGATTCTTGGTTTTCCCAGTTGGAGACTGATTGTCACGTAAATGAAGATTTGTGCCCCATTTGCACAGGCTGGTGGTTCTGCTTTATTTTATTTGCTCCCCTGATTTAAAACCTGTATTAACTATACTCTAAAAATCATGTGTGATTTGAGGGTATTTTACAACTCAGTAAATATTCAGTGCATCTGATTACGAAACAAAAAAATACTATAAAAAGTATAAAAATGAAGACTTTTTTTTAATAAAAAATTGATAAATTATTTTACTGCTCTAAAAAGCACAGTTATCTTTTTTATGATCAGTAGTGTGATATGTTCAACTACACAAATGATTTTGTTAGGTGAGGGTAGTCAGGCCCTGGCACAGGTTGCCCAGAGAAGCTGTGGCTGCCCCATCCCTGGGAGTGTCCAAGGCCAGGTTGGACGGGGCTTGGAGCAGCCTGGGATAGTGGGAGGTGCCCCTGCCCATGGCAGGGGGTGGGACTGGATAGGCATTAGTGTCCATTCCAACACAAACTATTCCATGATTCTATGATTCTACAATATAAATAATTTTAAAACCTTAACAGAATTAAGACTGTTTTCAAACAGTTCCTTATTTCTGGGAGCATTCAAAGCAGCCAATTTATGACAACTTATGAATTTGCTTTCTACACTATGACTTTGGTTCACCAACCTCTGCACTGATGGCAATTCCTGCAGAGTCCGGGCTTTAAGGGGACTCTGCAATCCTGCCATTTTTAGTTTGGGGTCAGCAAGATTTGGCATGCCCTACATAAAGCCACTGGCTGGATGGTATCTTCTCCCAAACCACATGGATGCAAGACTAGGACTGGATCTGCAGCTGGGCTGGGGTCAGGAGCAGGTGGTGGAGCTGCCCACACCTCCCTGGCTCATTAGTGGGGGACTGGATTAGCAGCTCTCACTGCTGTGTGGGACAGCAGCCAGTGAAATCTCCTGGAAATAAGTGACATCTGTTTTGGGGGATGAACACACCTTGGGTGCTGTGTTTGGCAGTGTTCACACCTCGGTGGGGCTTGGAGATGGTTCTTGATGAGCTCTGCAGATGGTCCTGTGGCCCCTTGCAGACCCTGGAGCTGTCAATGCTTCACCCTCTTCTCGTTCCCAAATGATTCAGGTATAGTAACTATTCCTAATAACCACATTTCAACCTGGTTTGGGTTGGGTTTTTTCTTTAAATCTTTCCTTTGATTAACTGTCCTGTTTTTCTCTTCCCCCCCTCCCATATTGATGGTTGGATTTTATGATCTTAGAGGTCTTTTCCAACCTTAATGATTCCATAATTCTATGATTTGAGTGTTCTGGCTGTGTCTAGTTATTCAGCCACAAGTTGCTTCATCGTCCTGACTAAAATGTGAAGAATAGGAGAAGGAAAGAACTGGAATTTAGGGGTTTCTTACAAGAAATCTTCAAGCAAGTGCAGCACTAAAATTCATGAAAATTTCAGGAAAACAGGCTTATTTGTAACAGGAAGGTTTCCCAGAGACCGGGGAATGTGGTGATTGCAAACTGAGGAGTCATAGAGATTCTCAATTAGTGGCAAATGGAGTTCAAACCTGCTTTTAATAACTCTCATAAGCACATTCTAATTTTTCTATGTATTTGTCATAAAAACTAATTATTATGTCCAAGCCATAAAAAGAAGAATAAGATTCTATTTCCTGTGTCATGTCAGTGATTTTGAGATATTCCACAAGTTAATGAAATCAATCTGCATATTAGGAAAGCAGAATTATGCATTATTATGTCTGCAGAGAGAAATCAATGCTTCACCTGATTTTTTCAGTCTTTACAGCAGAGGGCTCAGGCCATGAAGATCCCTCATGTGTCATTACAGCAGGGTGGGGTCAGAGATGCAGGTGATGATCCCGCCCTGGGAAAGGCAGCTTCCCTGTGTGCTGTGGGCAGGCTGTCCATTGCCAGGGGGTGAGAAGACTTTTAGGACTGTACCACTGGCCCTGACTACCTTGGCCACCTCAGAGGAACCATTTCTTGTACCAGCATGTCTGTCCCATGCCCCCATCACTGCCACACCCAGGACCGAATGGGAACTGAGCAGGGACCTGCTCCATCTGCTTGTGGGATGAATTGCTGGAGATTGTTAGCCCAGGTCGAGACCTGATGAGTCACATCTCTGATAAACATCTCAAAAAAGCCCCGCCAACAACATATTTTGCATTTTCACAGCTATATTTAGATGTATTTAAATGAGATTTGGTTTTGAAATTTGAAAAGGCAGATGTACAGAAAATATTACAGAACCTGTGTGTACGTGGAAAAAAATCATGTATTCAAAGACGATCTGGAGAAGGTCTTCAGAGATCTGGAGATGGTCACGAGTCCTTAGTGCAGAGCACCCAGGGGTGGGCGGTGTGTGTCGTGGGAGGAGGACTGTGGTGTCTCCACCACCTTTCACTGAGGACATGCTGCCTGTGTTGCCTTTATGTTCAACTCCCTGTAGTTGTTACTGGGGGAGGTGCTGAGACCTTGGCACAGGTTAGAGGAGCTGTGGCTGCCCCATCCCTGGAAGTGTCCAAGGCCAGGTTGGAAGGGGCTTATGTGGCTCAGTGGGCATGGGCGTATTTGGTTGAAGATTGGATGTGATGATCCTGGAGGGCTTTTCCCGCCTTAATGATTCTGTGGCTGACGGTTTCTACTGTGACATGTTTTCCTCTTGTGTTCTTGTTACCTCTCACCTTTTCCATGTGACTCCTGTAAGAAGGGAGTATCCACGTTCTCCTCAGCCACCCTTGAAATACTGTGACAAGGTGACAAGGTCTCTCTTAAACCTTCTTTTCTCATGGCTGAATGACCCCAGTTCTCTCAGCCTTCCCTCTCACAGTAGCTTCCCAGGCCTTTGGTTACACACCTTGTCTGAAATGGAAAGGTTCTCATTTAAAAACATTAAAAAGAGAAGTCAGATTACTGCAAAGTACTTTTCATGTTGGACCCCTGCACAAAATTTACTTGGGAGTTTAATTCCTCTTTCATCCTTGTTTATTATCTCATTTCTTCTGCCTCTCGTTAATCCATTTACTGAATAAATGTTTATTCGCTGCTATATTTAATTTTTTTCTGACCTTCTCAGCTGCCACGTGAGATGGGTGGAAGGCTGTAGTTGTTGAAATGTAGAGGAGCTCTGTGATGGGTTTAATCTGCACTCGAGGCTCAGCAGAGCAGATATGAAATGCTAAATCTGCTCATAGATCAGTCTTTAGAGGTATCAGAAGAAATATGTATGCAAAATAAACATTTCTTAATTCTTAATAAATATTAACATTCCATTGTGTTTATGCATATATATTTAAGTCATAATTACTAAATTCCACAGATTTGAGTGATCTGAATGTAATGATCCCTATCAGTCAGTAAATAGCAGAAAAATTAGCAGCATACTGATATACCAGAAATCCTGATTTGTCTCACACTGTGAGGTTCCAGAAATACTGTGGAAGCTAATTTCTATCATGGGAAAGAAAATCTTCCTGCGAAATCATTGATAATAATAACATCAACAATTCTCCATGAGTACCAGATCATATTGTGTCATTTATGTAATTTACAGAATTACATTATTCAGCAGGACTACATGTTTGTGCTTATTTATGTGTTATTTTAATTGATGTACATCTCTTATTAATTTCTTTTCTAATTCTATTTTGGAAATGAATGAATGATGTGACCTGCTCAGTGTCATTGTAATGACACTGCTAGGTTTTATTTCATTTCCTTGCTGTAAAACCAAGATTAAAGAGGAGCCCAGTCAATTAGGAAATGAACAAAGCACATACTTAAGAGAAAATCACTTAATCTGCACTCTGTAAGTCTGGAAAACTCTTCACCTTCAACCATGTCATGGGTCCAATCTTCCCTTATAAAGACGGTAAAATTCCAAAGGATAAACCTCAAACCCAAACAAAAGCCTGCACATTTCTCCTGGAACAGACCTTCTTGGCTTCAGGAAAGTCTGGAGAGGGTCTTTTCTTTAGAGAGATTCACACTGAAAGCCAGAATTCTTGCCTTCATTGCTGGGACCCCGAGTTCCCTTTCTCCCATTGTAACATTACAGGTAAAGCATTCCCTTAAGGACAGGCCATTTAATGCTTTCCATCACTTTCCATCCATGTGGAACTCTGTTCTCTGATGCCCAGGTGTATAAATAGTACAGAAAATGGGGTTAGTGAAGAATTCTGCTGATGAAATCAAAGAAAAAAAAATCCAGCTTATTTTTTTTTCTTAGCCCTGGTGCTGCTGGGGGCCTCAAAGCAATATGAGGCAACAGAAATAAATGTATTTTAGTCTTCTGCAGGAGAAGATACAACTCTCCAAGTACACACAGGCAGGATGTAACAGGCATCTTGATTTTTAAAAGTACAAGAACAATTTCATTTTCTCTTCTTTACACACTGTCACGAGCAAGCTCAGCCTTTCAACAAGAGCATCCATCTTTCCTGGGAAATCGAGAGCAACCCCTGCTTTGCACAAAACAGAGGGAAGTGCTGCTTTCTCAGTTGCAGCATTTAGAATCCAAGGCTGAGCTCTGCAAACCTGATGGAAATAGTTGTGCTCACACCTCACTGAGGGTTTGCACAGTTGCATTTCAACGCCTGCCTGTAATTTTATCCCAAAGGCGATCCAGCTGTCCCGGCTCTCCCAGCAAATCCAGGTATCCCAGCTCTCCCAGCTAGTTCTCTGTGCTCTGCTGGGATTATACTGAGTCAGAAGCTTTCCATGACCCCTTTCTCCTTGTTTCGTTCCAGTGTCTCCCAAGATATTCCGCATCTCCAGTGACATCATTGTGAACGAAGGCAACAACGTGACCCTGGTGTGTCTGGCCACAGGGAAGCCGGAGCCTTCCATCTCCTGGAGGCACATCTCCCCGTCTGGTGAGTGTGGAGCTGCCACCCCAACAGGGTTGGTGTTTTGGGGAGTCACAAGTGGGACGAGTGGCAGCATTTTTACCTTAAAAAGTGCTTGTCTAATGGGACCTTTAGAAAAGAATCTTCTTCAGATTTTGGGTGAGATCAGGGAAAACTGGGATACTACTGTAACACACAAATGAAGACATAAGGGCCCCTTAAATACGAATAAGTATGTTTTAACAGGCTGCAGAAATGGATCACACAATTCCAATTAAAATACAAGCAAGGACATAATCAGGAACACACAGGACTCTCTAAAAATGGGAATGAAAGTTAAACATATGAACACATCATGTAATAGATTTAATTCACTGCCATTTGTTTTACTGTAACTACAGATGCAGGGTGGGATTTTTGGGGTGTCCTGTGCAGAGCCTGAAACTGGACTCAGTGATCCTCATGGGTCCCTTCCAATTCAGGATATTCTAGGATTTTATACCATTGAACGATTATTCCTTGATGCAACACAGTTTATTGGAATGGTTTTAATGAACAAAATAAATGATATTTAGGAAAAATTGCAAACAAAATGGCAACTAAAGGTATCACTTCTATCTGATATTTCCATTTATACTTTTGATTCTTCATTACATATTTAAAGAAAAGTTCTGGCTAATGTTCTAGTGATCTCTCTGCTGTTGGCTTGGTGTAGAGCCACCAAAGCTGCTCCCTGGGAGCAAAGCAGGGTCCATGGGGAGATCCCCACTCCCTATCTCTGGAAATTAGGATGGATTTGGTATTCCTGGGAGGAGCTGCTCCCTGCTCCCAGCTGGCTGGACTGGCATTGCAGTGGTTCTTTTACAGGGACTCTACAGTCATGATTGATTTTGCAATGAAGGGCTTTCTTTGCTCCCACAACTTTTATAAAATCCGTGTAATTGCAGGGAAGGAGGCTTTCATGGACTGTCACAGCCTCTCATAATCCTGAGGAACAGTTTGCTTTACAAAGCAAGATCTGGAAAAAAAAGGTCACTTTTGACCTTTAAGACAATGACAATGAATTTGGCTTGGAGTGTCCATCAAGGGACCCGAGGAAAAATTCAGTTGTAGCAGAAAATGGATTTTAACTAAATGTCAAATAAAATTTTATTAGAAACCGTGGTGATACTTTAGAGTAATAGCTTAAAGCATTGAGTGGCTGCAGAAAGGAGCTCTTATAATGTTCCTGGAGAGGGATAAAGCAGAAAAGGAGAATTAGTGCACTCAGGCTGCAGGAGAGGCTGAGGAATAGGCAGAGTCTTCTCCTCTTGAATTCAGGCAAAATGAAGATCTGGTACCTGGGGACATGGGTGAGTGGTGGCCTTGGCAGTGCTGGGGCAATGGTTGGACTCGATGAGCTTACAGAGTTTTTCAACCTTAATGACTCCATGAAAATTAATGCAGGTAATCAGAAGGGCTTCCAGTGAGCCCCTGGCTCTGTATCTTGACAAAAGGGCTGGGAATGACGAAAGGTGTGCTCATCCATTACCACAGTGAGAACTGAAAATGGAATTTGAGGCAAACACTCTTGGAAGATCTTGTGGAACAGGGAGAGACAATGGGGGTGCTCAGGGTGCTCCTGCCAAGTGCCCAGCGCAGCAAACTGTGGGTACACAGGAGGTATTCCCACAGGAGCTGTTCCCACCACTTAAGGTCTAAGGGCAGGCAGGTATAGCCTCTCTTTGTTTTCCCTTTAGGTGTCAAATTCTTGCTTCACTCTGCCTTCTCACCCCTTCTTGGAAGTGGATATGAACAGAATCCCAGAATCTCAGATTAGTTTGGGTTGAAAGAGACCTTAAGGCTCATCCAGTCCCACCCCCTGCCACAGGCAGGACACCTTCCACCATCCCAGGTTGCTCCAAGCCCCGTCCAACCTGGCCTTGGACACTTACAGGGATGGGGCAGCCACAGCTTCTCTGGGCAACCTGTGCCAGGGCCTCACCACCCTCACAGCCAAGAAATTATTCCCAATCTCTAATCTAAATCTCTCTTCTTTTAGTTTATAGTGCCCATGGGAGACAAAAAAGAGGCAAAGGTACCATAGACTAGGCATGGACATCTCTGAGGGGAGGGAGAGTTCCCAGGCTGACGCAGCACTTCAGGACAGCCCAGGCAGAGATGCCTTGACAAGCCCCAGTGCTGATGCCTGGCAAAGTCATCACAGACACCATGTCACAGTCCTGACAAGCCTCAGTGCTGAGGCCTGGCAAATTCATTGCAGATGCCATGTCACAGACCTACATCCCCACAAACACTCCTTTTCCAAGTGGTGGGCAACAAGGGGGAGTACTGGGACCTGGCACTCAGTGCTCTGCTCTGAGTGACAAGGTGGGGATTGGTCACACCTTGGACTTGATGGCCTTGGAGCTCTTTTCCAGCCTCAGGGATTCTGGGATTCTGTGCCTTGAGACGTGCCTTGGGTGTCCCTCGCTTGATTAACGGACACAGCTCGGTCTGGAATGGGAGAACACGGGATCCAAATAACTTCTTGCTCAAAAATCTTGTAAAATGTGATGGAAACAAAGGTACAATTTCCAGCACATGTTCTGCTAGTGCAACAAATAAAGAAGACTTTTTCCATTCCAGTAACACTTCTGTGCTCAGGTGCATGTTCCGGGTGCAGACAGTTACAAATGGCTCTCATAGCCCAGGGAACATCAGCCTGGCAAACACAAAGCCTGGATTTATTAGAAAAGAAAATGCAAGAGAGTTGCAAACACCAGATCTCTGTAATGGTTTATATTCTGTCTGCAGCACCTCACCTCTCTCTAAACATCAGCTTCATCTGCACTTTCTAATTTCTCCCAGTTTTCCCCTGTAATTCCCAGTGGCACTAATGAGGCTCACAGGGAAGCATCGCGTCTCCAATCCAGCACTAAATTATATTAACCAAGCATATTTAGAATATTCTCAAATTGTTTGTCAAAGCTGCTGCTGAAAGATAAGGAACTGAAATCTCTGAATACAAATGACTCAATGTAGACTAATTCCAGGATATGATCATGATTTACATCAACGCAGCCTTGACTTGCACGAGGTTGGATTCAATTTTTTGGAACATGAGATAAATTGAACCTTTCGTAGGAATAAAAATAAAATACATTTTGAGGTGATTTTTAAGCTCAGTCTGTAAATCATTGGCCTGGAATCTTTATTGTGCATGTTTAACTTGCAGTCATTATGTAAATGCTTTCATTATATAAATATTCATTACACAGCCCCATTATGTAAATGCAGCAAATCTCCACACTCAGCGGAACGCTCAGGCTGCAGTTTGTAATCTGGAAATCTGTATTGTTGAAATGTCACCCGAATAAATTGCAGGTATTACTTATTTTGTTCTGACATTTCAGAGCAAAGTGCATCATCGATAGTTTAAGAATGAAACCAGAATGCTAAAGCTCCAGCTGTAGCACTTCTATGTCCAACCTGTGTGTGTGGGTAACATGAGGGTTTGGCTAAGCTCTGTTGGCAGCAAAACTAGCAAAAGACATTTAGAAATCTTTTGATAAAATGTTTCTGCATTCCAAAGTTCAGGTGCTGTTATGTCAAAATTCTTTTCCACTTTGGTTTTGACAAAAGTTTCCGAAGGGGAGGTTCTCCAGCCACAGAGGGATTGGGGTGCTCAGAGGGTGCAGTGACAGGACAAGGGGGAACAGCTTTAGGCTGAAGGAGGGGAGATTTAGATGGGATATTGGGAAGGAATTCTTAGCTGTGAGGGTGGTGAGGCCCTGGCACAGGTTGCCCAGAGAAGCTGTGGCTGCCCCATCCCAGGAAGTGTCCAAGGCCAGTTTGGATGGGGCTTGGAGCAACCTGGGATAGTGGAAGGTGCCTCTGCCCATGGCAGGGGGTGGAACAAGGTGGGCTGTAGGATTCCTTCCAGCCCAAATCAGTCCAGGATTCTATGATTCCTGGTTACTTCCAGTTCTATATTTTTCAGTTCTTCCCTGCTCTCTTGCTCCTTTTCTCACAGTTATATCTCCATTGTTCCCAGTCCAGCTTACAGTTAATTTCCTGAACAGGATGATGATCTGGATGCAGGGATGCATTTGGAAGAACAGATTTTCAGAAACTGTGAATTTAGCTGGATAAACACAGATCTTCCCACATTGAGTGAAAGGCAGATCCTGGCACCAGAACACCCATTGTTCATTCTGTCCTGGTTCCAGGGAATCATGACACAGAAACATTTCCAGTATAACCCAACAAACCCCCAAAAGCCCTGTAAGAACTGTTTAGCATGTGCAAAATAACAGATTTTTCACCAACACTGAGGAAACCAGTAGTAGTGCTCACTAAGCAGAAATTAGGCTTAGTTTAGACTTGAACATATCCACATGATGGCTCCTCTCCCTCCTCTCCCTCCTCCTCCCTCTCTCTTTCCCTCTTCCATTTGCCACGTGTGCAGGATGTGATAGGACTGAAGGCACTCTAATGCCCCTCCTGCTGCTCCTGGACAGCCCTAAAGCTGTGGAGATATATTGCATTAATGTATCATCACAGCCTGACCATGTATTAGTGCAATTCATCTTCAGAGCTCTGCAATTACCGGGCTGGGCTGGTGGGGAAGGAGCCTCAGAGCTGATTCCATTGTGGACAAAAGGCACTGCCAGTTCCTGGGCTGCAGGACCCTTCCTCAGTCCCACTGCTGCACAACACTGAGGTCCTTCTCTGTGGGAGAAGCAAAGAGGGTTTTTAAAAACTCTCCCTAAATGCTGAGAAACAAACAAAGCTTGACCTGAGCCAGCCAATGTCAAAGATTCTGTTCCACTTGGCCTTCAGCTGCAGAGCCACCACCTCTCAGATGTGTCCACACGTGACAGAAATGAGAAGTGTTTTGTTCAAGTGCAAGTACTTCAAACTTGGATTTTCAGGCTAAAAATACTTAACTGACATGGATTATTATCAGATTCCAAGGGCTTTGTGTGTGTACAAATGGTGAAATGTTTTAAAATCCTCCATCCCTCACTTAAAAATAGGTTTAA